GTCAAGTTCAGCTGTTTTGGTGCCTTTTTTTGCAGAGATCCTGCTTTATAAGCAATTCTTTTGCTATGTGTGTGATATCTCGACTGTAAGTAGCACTGAGGACACTGTGCCTGCCCACTTCGGCTCTCCTTTGGAGTGAACTCAAGCATATCAGAATCCGCACGTTTCCAGAGCCATCAGGCCAGGATGCTTCATGCTCTGCCCTTATCATCGTTCAACTCATTTCATTTGTTTTGTTAGTTTTTTAACTTCCTGGTTTTCCTGGAAACACTGCAGACAATTAACTTGTCAAGTCAGGTGGGGATGATTTATGGTGCCTATAAAATTTGCACATCATATTCCTTGACATGAAATATGGGCTGTTTGTGTTGGTATAGCAGTGCTTGCTCCAATGTCTTTTTGTGAGCTATGTCAGGAGCAAGGATTCAGTCATTCAATTCTTTTGTAGCTCTTTCATTCAAGGAAAGGAAAAAGATCTACAGCAAGTGCAATGGAAGTGTCAGGTTGGGGGGGGTGGGTGGGTTTGGTAACTTTAGCTTTGGTTGAGAAATGTTTTCATGAGAAGTTTCTATCTCATTAAGGATTAATAGATGCTTCTGATAAATGACAGAAGCTGCTCTGTGATCTGAATTCTCCTAGGCTAGTTAGATGATGTCAGTCCATTTTCCATAGTCTTGCTCACTCCTGAAGGGCAGATGTTTTCATGACCAGCACAAGCCATCACGGTGCTGCCAGTGATACTAGTAATGGTGGATGTAAAGCTGGACTCAAACTCTGGGGTGCAGCCCTACCAAAACAGGCTTGTGCTGCTCCTGCTGTTAAAATGAAATAGGCCAGAAACCCACGTTCATTCCCTTCTCTGCGTTTTCTTGTAGAAAGCAGGGAAGCTGCTCACTGCCTGTCTAGCTGCAGAGTGTGCATATGTGATGTCTGTATAGCTTCAATTTATGTTCAGTAGCTCCACTGGAGCCAGAACACCCATCAAGTATGACAAAGCAAGAACAATCTCATCCTCTACTACAGTCAAAACAAAGCCATGATGCTCTTTTCTTGCCCTTTGGTGATAATAGGGTAAATAATTTAAATGGATGCATTTAAAGCAGGTACTGTTGGTGCATGCGTGTAGTTTATGGTACAGACGAATACTCCAGTATTTAAGTTACCGAAGTAATACAAATAATTAAACTATAAAAATCATACAAAGGGGCACTGTCCCACCATGGAAAGTGGAAGCTTTTAAATGCAGTTTAAACTGAGGTTCATTCTATAAACAGTTTGTGCACATGGGACAGGTTCCTGGCATGTGAGTGTCTGACTATCACACTCTGGATGGAGCCCAAGGGCTCGGTGTTAATCCCCGGGCCCTCCTTGGGGCTGGCAGGACACAGTTCTGTGAGCAGCCATCTCTTGACATCGATGACCTCTTGTATCAGGTATGTTCCTTAAGAGCTATCAAGGCCAGGAGAGAAAGGGTCTCTGCGCAGTGGGGCCAAGGATCTCATTGCAGGGAGAGGGGGGGGCAATTCTCCTATCTCTGGGACTGTCTGGAAATCATTCCCACAACAAAAATAAGGACAAAATAAAGACAAAAAAAGAGGTGATGGCCACAAGGCAGTGAGAGTGGAAAAGGGTCAGGAGCTCCTTGTCCCGTGCCTGGCCGGGGCCAGGTTGTTGCTGCTGCGGATGCGGGCGCTGCAGATGGATGCTGTGCCGAGAGCTCAGCTAGCTGCGTGCTAACCAGGCAGTTCTGCTCGTCAGAGTTGTTAGTCTGGCACCTTTTCTGCACATTAAATTCACACCACACAGCATTTCAAAAGAAGGGAAGCAGATTCTCCCCGCGCCTTGTGCCTAACAGCAGATCCTGCTCTTACATAAACAAAACTCTCCATGCCTCCTCTCGCTCTGGGATTTAACACTTGGCCTTTGCAGTGTGGTGGGCAGGTACCAGCAAGAGAAATCTCACAGTACCGTGTCGTGTGTGGTGCCCTGGGGCACACTGGTGTGTGAGCCCTGAGGAAGGGATGGGCAGGGATGTTGGTTTATGGAGGGGCAAACAGCGTGTACCCGTTGGAACCATGACCAAAGGTGTCCATGGGTCTGGTAGTGGCAGGACCAAGGCTCAGGGTTTGATAGTGTCTGGTGGTAGTTACTTGTTCCGTGACTTTATTTGCCTCTCTCCTCTCTAATTTCTTTGTGTCCCAAGCCTGTGTGTGATCCTGTTGGTTGTGTAGCATCTGGATTCCCATCCCTGTTTCACTCTGACTCCTGCCAGCGAGGAAGTTTCTTGCACGTTTTCATGCTGCTTTCCCAACGTTTTGGTGGCCATTCCTTGCTATTAGCTCAGGGAATGACAACTGACACTGGTTGCAGCTCCCCCTCGATGTTCTAGTCTTCTTTTTCCTTTAGAAAGGCCAATTGCTTTTATTAACTCTATCCTCTCCCTGGCAGACAGATTTTGATATGGCAGAGCAAACCTGATGCAGGAGCAGTGCCTTTCCCACTGTGAATACCAATGACCAATTTAATGGACGGGTCCTTTATCAGCGTTTCTTAATACCTGGAAAAAGCAAATGAAGTCATCCACATGCTTCTCAGTCTTGCAGGGACCGTACGAAGTAGTGAGTGATGAACAAGCCTCAACTTAAAGCAGGCAGAGGATAAAACTCAGTGGGTTTAAGAGCTTTAGGAGGCACCAAGCTCTGCCGCCGGAGTTGCTGTCTGTGGGTGTAAGGTCTCACTGCTACGAGCTCTGTGTTTTCTCTGGCTTGTGAGTAGGGTGAGCCCAGAGAGGCTGTAAAACCTCCAGATCCAGGCCAAACCACGGCACCCACTTGGGATCTTTCCATTGCCCTCACTGGGGTTTGGATGAGGCGGTTCAGCACTGACCCAAGCTGGAGCATGCATGAGATGGGTGAGACCTTCTGGGGTGTGTTTATCTGAAATGTGTGTGTCTTGCTGTCGAGTATCACGAAGGAGAGTGAGCAGCTCCTTGGCTGGGCAGCGAGTTGGTCCATCAGGATAAGAAGCCACCTAGAAATTACTTCATCCCAGAAGCAGCATTGCAGGAGAGGGAGGGATGGTGTGGATGAAAAGGTGTGGATGAAAGACTTTGTGTGGGCACAGGACGTGCCATTGGTCTGCATGGGTGATAACCTTGGACCCATGTCCCCAAACCTTGCTTATCTCAACCCATTGCATGTCCACGTTGGGGCCATTTTGGTGGTGGTGGCTGAGCTGGGAATGTTTTGCTTAGATCCATCTGCATTGTGTATGTTTGGATAGATCCCAACCTGGGTTCAGCTGCGGCAGGGGTCACGCCAACACCTTTCTTTTCTGTTGTCACATGTAAAGGATCTCCCTAGAAACTAACCTCTGTTTTCCTGAACAATGGAAATGCAAATGAAGGATGTCAGCTCTGTACCCAAAAATAAGATTTCAAAACCATTTAGCATTTCACAGTGACAGCTTGAAGACTCGCACTTGTCTCTCATGATGAGAGACAGGCAGAGGTCCCCAGCTCACACTCAGATCTGAGCACTAGCGACTGATTTATCCCAAACTTTATAATATATGTGTTATTTGTAGTGCTTTTCAACTTCAAAGAGCTTGAAAACTATTAATGCAAGTGCACAAAAGGCTTCTGTTCTTGCTGCCACTCTACGGGGGGGGGGAAGATGGAGACGTGCCTGAGTCTGGTGGGGAGTTGCTTGGGCTCAGTGTGCCTGGATGGGGTCTGCCTGATGGTAGGGCCATGGGCAGCCCCTTGATACTAGTGCAGAATTGCTGTATAGCTTTTTGAACTGCTTGGACATGTCATGTTTTCAGATCTCTTCAAATTGATCAGTTTTTCTGTTCCAAATTCTGGTTTTCTTCAGAACTGTGGACAGCCGAATGCGGTGGGAAGGATGCTTCAGCCCCCTTCCCTCCTGCTTTTTAAGTTTTTGGGTGTAAAAACTACATGTAAAACATACACTTTTCCTCCTGGTGCTTGGGGCACTGTGGTGGTGCGAGCGGCTGGGTGAACACATGGGGTTTAGGGACAGCCATGGCACAGCACCACAGGGGCTCTGCAGCACAACTGGCCCTGCAGCATCCCAGCAGCGGTGCCTTGGGGGTACAGTTCTTCAGGCATACATAAAGAGCCATGCACTTCTGTAGTGTTTTCTTTGCCACTCTCCTGGGTGTTTCAGCCTAAATCCTTCTTTCTCAGTAGCTACCTTGAAGGATTTTACCTAAAATGTAGTTTTAGATATGTATGCAGTGAGCAAAGCATAGTAGTCTTAAAAAACCCATTCACAACAAGCGAATGAGAGCTCCATGCAGTAAATACCATCCCGAATTCCACTGTCATCCTGGACCGAGCAGAATTTGATGGGCCGAGTGATTCATCCATCAGTTATTTTTCCAGAAAATCATGCTTCTGGAAGATTATGCTTTTTATTAAAGGAAAATATCACTCTTAGTGTTCAGTACTTCCTGGCTTTGCTATCAAAGTTGAAGCAGAACAAAAACCGTATCTTGCAGGGGTTTTGTGCTTAATTCAAAAGAATGGAACTGCAGGGTGTAAATTGGTAGGAGAAAATTTTATCCCAATGCTAGACAAAGTTTTTGGTTTGTTTTGGGGGTTTTTAATCCTGTATTTTAACAGTTTAATAGAACAGCATAAGGATGTCCAAGTTATTCCAGAGTGGTGAGCTCACTCTTCTTGGGGCGGAAGAGGAGTACAGCATGAACAGGGAAGTGGACACCCCACAGAGCTACAATTTCCCCCTGTCTGTTTCTGACTAAGTGAGGTGTCGAAGCCCAGTATTCCCCATCATTTCCCTAAGGAATCTGTCTTCTCTGTGTCTCACAGGTTTTCTCCCAACTGCATTAGGACGGGGATCCCCAAACGGTCACTGAGCAACGCCATTCACCCACCGCTCACCACGTGCTGAATCCTTTTTCTGCTCTCTTTAAAAAAGGGGAGGGGGTGGAAAGAAGGAAACAAAGCAATAATTACATTGACCATGCCTTGGTTCAGTAACGACCTGGTGACTGGAGCCCCCATTGTACAGCGGGCCCCAGGTATGTTGGAAGATACAAATGTTTTCACAACACTTTCTGTATTTTCCTATGGGTGCTGGGAGCATCAGTGCTCCGGTTCCGCATCCATGCAGGTCTCCCAGGGGTTCTGGGGGAACCGAGGCAGCGCGATCAGGAGGAGGGCAATGCCACAGATGAAAAGCAGGACGAAGGAGGCGCAGGCACAGGCGAAGGACCAGGAGTAACTGTACTCGATCCAGAGCGTCTCCTTGCTGTCGATCATCCTCTTCACGGATTGTCTCATGACTTCAACAGAGATGATGATGCAGAGACCTGAAGGAAGACAGGAGCACCGGGGTGAACGACCAGCTGCTGGTTCTGCATCCTTAATTAACCACTTCATCTGCTTGCCTACAGGAGCTGCAGTGAGATTCACATTGACTGCAGTGTTTGAAGGAGCCAATGCTGTCAACTGCTTAGAGCTCTGCTATCACCCAGGCCATCCAAGTCAGCCGGTGACTTGTAGAGTGTGATCTTTAAGGCAGGATTGGATAGGGAAATTGGTGGGGGAGGAATAATGGCATTCCCTAGGGAGCTTGTCCAAAGGTTGGATAAGATTGTTACTGAGGGCACAATTTGCACCTCTGTCTTTCACTCATTGTGACGTGTCAGGGTGTTACTATCTCATGTAAAACTGCAGTCTTCATGCTTTTGGGAGACAGCTGTGTATTTTGGGCCTGAATAGGCTCTTTCTTTGGCATGAGTCTAAATAAATGAGGTGGAATGGTGAACATCCCTCATTTAGACTGGGGCTGGCACTGAATATGCTAGAAATACCCCTTTTAAAGGTAGCTGAACAGACACGCTGCTGGGTAATGCTTGTTGAGCAGGATGCTTTCAGAGCTCTTCAGCTGGAGCAGCACACAGGGACCTGTAGTCTGACTGTGGCTGGGAAGAAAATGCCAGTTTCAGGGTGTTTTAGAAGTGTCTCCATCCTCCCAGGATCTGAATGTCTCTGTTGTCCTATGAACTGAGTGCAAGCATGTGAGCACCAAGCCTCCTACCTGCAAAGGTGTAGAACATGGACGCTGGCTTCAGCAGATAGTCCCTCTTCTTTCTGAAGGATAAGAGGACGCAGATTGTGCCGATGATTGCAAAGCCAACGCTGAAGATGGCAATGGCTGCAGCCGAAATGCTGTACTCTGCCAAAGCAAAACAAACACCAAACAGTGCGAAGGGATGCAGGCTCTGAGCGTGCTCCCATCAGCTGTGGTGACTGAGAAATACATGTACATAGCAAGGTGACTGTGGTGAACTGAGTTTTTCCCTCAAATAAAAGCAGGGGCAAGTATTGACCATGCATCTGCTGAATGTGAAGGGTACAAAAAACAGAGCAGGAGGAGGAATCACTTTATGAACACTTACTGACGGAGCGAATGGCACCACAGTTGGGCTGAAGAAGCTCTGGGCTGGAGCTGTTTTAGCTCTGCTGCATAGATGTTATTGTTGAAGCCTTTCTGGACTCTGTGCTCTCGCTTCTTCCATCACCCCACACTCTGCTCTCAGAGTAAATAGGCAGCCTCATGCTATTTTTACTCTGTGCCTGTACAGCAGAGCCCTGACGAGGCCCCCACGCATGGTGCTGATGTTGTACGATGCAGAAGGACAGCTGTGTCCTCCATGGGGCTCAAAACCTGAGCTGGCAAAGCAGGCAGGAGGCCAGAGGTGAGGTGTTTGCATGGTACCTCTTCTATTTATCTGTATTTCTCCCTTAAGCCAATGATTTCCAGGTCTGTGGAACCCAGCTCGTTCAGAGCACAGGATTAAACCCTCCATAAAGCACCCTGGTTTTTGCTAAGCCAGCTAAGATGTGTGCTGGACACTTCCCCCAGCTGACTTCAGTGCCTGAATGGAGGGGACGAATTGCTAATTGAATAATTCAGGCCTTCATTTACATCTTGCATTTGTTTTCAGATGAATTTAATATTTAACACACGCAGCCATGCGTGAGCATCGCAGGCCTGGTGATATTTGCCTTTCAAGCCATTAAAATATAGATCTCCCAGGCAAAATCATGAAGGTTTTGCCTGTTCCTAATTAGCTCCCATCAAAACGTAGCTGCTTCTGCAGGGGGGAACAGCAAATCACTCTTTGTTCTCCCTGCTTTTCATACCACTGTTTCAGCGTGATTTCCTTCATGTTTCTCTTTCCCATGTGCTGGAAGTGCCTGAAACAGTTTATTTCCATAGGCTTTTCCTTTTGTTTCAAAGAGAAGGAGTTCTTCCTGATTCTTTCCCTGACATGACCAAGAAGGCATCGGGTGTGTTTTTAGACCAGATGGCTGGATCTGGGAATACACAGAGCAAAAGCAGGTAGTGCCCATATATGCTCTTCTATCCACTTAAGATTCCCATTCCTTCCTGTCTTAGGAAAGTGCTCCTTTAGCAAACCCATCTGCAGGGTTTTCCACCATTATAATTTCCCTGCAAGAAAAGCAGTTTGTTTAATAAGTGTCATGCAATCATCTGCTCATGTACTGCACTGTCAAACACGTTGTGTGGCGAGCTAGAGAGGGATTTGCCCTTAATGAGAGCATGAGCAAGAGAGAGAAGCGTGTTAGGCAAGTGCTCTAAATATTGGCTTTATCAGGGACTCATTAGAAATGTGGAATTCATCCAGCTTTTCCAACGCCACACTCTGAGAACACCGAATTGTGGTTTTGTAGGATTTCTGTTCCTTCCTTCCACTGATTGCTCTGTTTTTCACATGGCTTCCATATAAAATCAATCCGAAGCCTAACATTCCTGAGGGTCTTCACAGAGTCTCTGTACTTCTTTTCAGGGTCAGGATGCTGTCTGGGGTATGATTTATTCATTTAGATTTCATTAATGTTTTCTTCCTTCCATGGCAAAGGCTCATGGATCGTGATAATGGCTATGTTCTAACGTCATTTTGATGCTGCAAAGACTCTGCAGTTTTCATGGGTATTGACAGTGTTATGTGTTTGTGGGACAGCTTTCAGTAAAACCACACTTACGAGTGTGAACGTACATAAAAGCTCTTCCCATGAAGCTGGCCTTTGAACTCGTTCAGAGCATTCTCCACATTTTTCCCAGCCGATGGAATCTGATAGGAATTCCCCTACTGTTTTCAGTGGGACCAGGGCTGAGCCCTCATTTTGGGGACCCCTTTACCTTAGACCTTATGTACACCTCAGCTCATACAACGTTAGGGGAATGTTTTTCAGGCTCATTCTTACCTTTCTGAGTGGTTACTTCAAATATCTCTGAGCTCTGTCCTGGGGTGAAGTGCTTGAAGTAGGAGCAGTTGTGTTCTGGAAGAGAAAAGGAAATGTAATTTTGTATAAACCTTGGGTTAGACATAGTAAAACTGGATTTGCTTTTTACTGATGTATCAAACATGCAGTGTTTTTGAGGTTCCCTGCCCTTAGTGATACCAGGAAACTGGAGCTGCATCTGTTGTGTTCAGGAGCAGATGGGTGGCACACCAAGCCAGGCCACCAGCTCCAGCTTCAACCTCAGCATCTCAACGGGATGGAGGAGGGTCTGGTGAGGCCCCGCTGCCTCCAAGCTCTGGCAGCAGCAGGGTTAGATGGTGGAGGGTGCTCTCACTATTTATAACCCATTTAACTGCAGGGATGTGGAGCTGGGGTGCAGTTGCTCGCCAGGAGGTTGTCTGGGAGGTGCAATCGCGCTGAGCGGTGCCAGCTCTGATTGCTCTATTCTGCTGAGCGGGGATGGAGGACACAGCGCTGGCCCCAGCATCCCTCCTGCAGCCCAGGTTGGGCTTCCTCAGCCTGGTAAAGCGTGCCAAGACTGCACCAAACACAGGCACTGCCTGCAGCAAGGGCACGCGTGGTGAACATCAGCATCTTTGTCCATTGAATGGCACCGGTTTCCAGGAGATGCTTTGTGATCCTCTCCAGCATCCAGGCTGGGTCAGGCTGTTCCAGGGCAGGTTGGGGGGTAAATCTGAGCCAGGTCCTGGGTGCAGGAGCATGCAGGGTGTGCTACATTTTGCCTGTGGGCACATAGTGCATTTTGGTGGTTATCTATAGCTTTAATTTCTAGTAGCAAGAAGACGCCAGTGCACTGTGTTACCTGTTGGGTTCTGTGCTATTTTTCTGTCATGTAAATGGCAGATGTTGGAGTTACTGATTCAAAGAGGATTTATTTTCTCTCTCCCAGGAGACAGGCAATTGCAAAGCAGCATTTTTGGGCCCCTTAAGTGGAAGATTCCTTTGAGATGCTCTTATCTACTTACTTGTATAAGCTGACTTTATTTAATGTGGAGCTTCTTGCTGGAGACTAGGTTAATGTTTAGCCCTGGCATCTTCTGACCTGCTCTTTATTACCGTTGGAGGAAACTCAGTTGAACTCAGACCTCTATCACTGAAATTGCAGATTCTGAGCCCAAGAGGAAGATTGTGTGCCTCTGACAGGGACTAAGTGGTGGCTGAGGCTGAGCATCATGTCTGGTGATCCCAGTTTTGGGATCCTTTGGTTCCTGTGCTAAAGAGGAAGGAATGGGATGAAATGGGGATGCTTTGGTATTATTCGGTTTGTCTTTTGATTAATTCTCTGAAAAGCCTGAACTCAAAGGCGGCCCCACGTGTGTTGACTGTGTGGAGCCCAGGGTGACGCCATCCAGATGCAGTGTGGCTGAGGGCACAGCACGGCTTTGTGTCCATTGCAGATGAGCCGAACCAATCCCTTCTTCAGTCTGTGAGGGCTCATCACAGGGGGACACTGCCCATGGTGTCCCTGCCCATGGCAGGAGGGTTGGAACTGGATGATCTTAAGGTCCTTTCCAACCCTAACTGTTCTGTGATTCTATCACACACAAACCCTTCTTCTAGAGATGCAGGAAAACGAGCTGCCTCTGTCTTGTGACTTATAGCAAAGCTCTGCCAAGGCACAATAAATAGGGTTATCACAGAAGGGGGCTAGCTCTCGGGGAGGTGGTTTTATGTAAATTACATTTATTGTGGGAAAATACAATTAGATTGGTTTGGGTGAAATGATGCACTGTTTAAAGAGGCTTCAGTGCTCTGCTGAGCTGGGAATACCTGTTTCAATAAGGCTCCCTGTTATTCAAGAGAACTGAGGGACTTCAATGCCTCCCTGGTGCCATCATGAATAAGAGAAAAGCCCATTTGTGTCACACCACGTTTACATAATGGATAGGATTTAAAATGGGTTTTGTAACGGATGCAAACTGCGTGGCAATCTTTGCTTCTCTCCACCCCTAACTGCATTATCTCTGCCAGGAGGTCACCTCAGTGTGCTGATGGGAACAGTCAATCCGAATGGGGTTAAACCTCAGGGGTCTGCAAGAAGGAGACCTCATAGGGGAAGAAAGGGCAGAAAGGCCACGAGGTGTTGGAGCCATGCAGAGCTTCAGGTGGCTGCTGAAGGGGATGGAGCCACCTTGCACTTGAACGTGAGATGAGTTTGTCGCAGGCTGGATGGGTAAATCCATGTTAAAGACATGGATCTTAACGTGAGGTTTCTACCTGTGTTAAGTCTGGAGACAGGACCTGCTGCTGTGACTAGAAGAGGTGTTAAGGCAAGGGCTGAGTGGTGGAGAGGGCCAGACCTCAGGCTCTGACCTGGCCAACAAGCCAGGGGAAGGCCTTTGATAGGCACTGAGTTATGGAGGTGGTGTCTCCGCATACTTTAAACTCATACCAGTCTTGCAGAGTGAATCTCTTGTATGGAGGCAGCCCTGCTGAAACCCATCTGCTCAAGCACTTCTGCTCTGCAATTGCCTGAACTGAGGTTACCGTGTTTACAAGGACCTATTTAACATGCCAGCAGCGCACGCAGGCTGTAGAGCATCAAATGCACCAGAGCCCATTTGTAAGATAGCAGCTACACCAGAGTTACTGACAGTGACGGTGAACTTGGTTTACACCCAGCAGTAAATTGCCCACCGGTCACAGTTAAAAACATCCCAGTGTTGATCTGAATTTGCCTTGTTTCAGCAGCATCTCTGCAGCAGGATGCTGAACACTTCCCAGTTTGTCAACATCCTCAGAAGCACGCTGTGAAACTTTAAAGCCCTGCCTAAATCACAGCCCTGCTTTGTGGCCTGCGAGCCAGGGCACCCTCGCCGTTTCCACTCTGCTGAGCTCAAACCCTAGTAAATAACGTTAATTGTGCCATCCATTTCCCCCTCGGGGAGCCACTGGTGAATGGTTATTAATGCAGTGATAAATTCTTCTGTTTCTTTTGCAGTCCTGGCAGTAATGCCTGGTTATGCCTCATGATTTGCAGGAAGCCCAGTGCCCACATCTGCTCTTTCACTGCGTGTTCGTTCATTCACATTGCCTCGGCTGCTGCAGGTTTCACAACCCTGCTGTTTCCCTGCTGACATCTCTTCCCAGAAGTGTGAAATCATTCTAACACGAGCAGTGGGGACACAACATCGTTTAGCAGCCTGGATCCACTGTGGCTGCACTCCCTCCCCTCCCCTTGCTGTGTTCCCTGCCTGAGTAAAACAGGGTTTTATGTATATATATATATATATATAAATATATAATATATATTATACATAATATATAAATAAATATAATATATATTATATATAATATAAAAAATATAATTTATATATAGGAAAATTATATTATTATATATTATATTCATTTTTAGATATTATATTTTAAATATATGATATATTATCTATAAAATGTATAAATATATAAATATAATATAAATATATAAAAAATGTATTATATATTATATGTATAATACAAATATCTTATAATGCAAATTTCTCCCTTTGAAACCTCAGATGCCGATTACAGGATGTCACCCAAATCCCGAAATATCTTTAAAACCTGGGAAACGACCTCTGCTGTGGGATGGGTGGCTCAGCCCCTTCACTGTCCCACTGGTTATTCGCTGTGCCCAGCAGAACAGCAGCGCTGGGCCGTGATTCAATGCCTGTGCAAGCACATGCTGATGTCTGTCAAAGATAGTGGCTGCTTTCGTGCTGCCCTGCCCTGTGAATGTGGTTTTTCAGACAGCTGGCTCTTTACGAGGTTTATATTTACCCACGGTTGTGCAATTCCCCTGTTTATCCACCCATTTCTATTGTTTTTCCCCGTTTGTGGGAGCTTTCCTCCGCATGCGAGGGGAAGGCGCGCAGTGACAAATGGGTTTCCAGGCACGTTAAGTACCTTCGCGCGAGACATTAAGCATATGGATGACACGCTCCCAAGTTTGGTTAGAGGCAGATCTGCACGCTGAGGCTGAGCTCCTCTCTTCAGAGCATGCAATTTGGCCAAGGAGATAAAGAATGGCAGTGATGCAGGGAGTATGCAGCAAGCCCAGGCAGTCAGGTTTTTCACAGGCGATTCTCAACTATGCCTTAACATCTATATTTCATTTCAAGCAGCGAGTCCGACATGAAGGCAATCCTGTTATTTCTGTTCTGGAAAGCATCCAGTACCTGATCAGCCTTCTAAAACAGCAGTGGAGCTCAGGCACGGAGGCAGTGTATTAGCGCAAGCGGCGCGAACGTTGCTGACTTTGCGATCAGCAAAACCATAATGAGCTCCTTTTACCATGGAATGCAACGGGCTTCCCGGAAAGCAGCCCTGCCCGGTCCCCCGCTGCCCTCCCTGCCGATAGCACTGGAGGAACCCGTGGTGGTGTTGATGTGTGGGACCAGCCTGCCAGCGCTGAGGTGAGGAGTTTCTCTGCTGAGAAACTGCTTCGAAGCAAGTTTATGACTCTTTGTTTCTTTTGGATGCTGGCAAAGCATCCCGCAGGTCCCACTTCCTCCCTGCCCTGAGCAATAGTTGTTATTAAAATCGCTTAAAGGCACCCTAATGCCCACCAGGAACTGGCTGTTCCGCTGGAAAGTTGGATCTTTAGGATTTCCAGGTCCATATATGCATGATGGACCCATAAATCCTGTTTCTTGCCCGCTGCCATCAGCGTCCCCGGGTGCTGTGGGACCCTTGGCTCGTGTTCAGCAGAATTTCCTCCATCCCATGGGACAATTTCCCTCTGTGATTTCCACCATGTCTGATCCTCCTCCCCTTCTCCCTGCTGCGGTCATCATTGCACAGAAGGCTCAAATATGGTCACAATCGGACGTGCAAGGCAACACAACGCACACTTACAGCAAGAGTGGTGACAACAAGATGTGATTGCAGACCAACAAGAAAACAGCCCCATGCCGACTTAAGTGCTGCGGGATATGGACCCCCTTTTCCTTCTGCTGCGTCCTGCAACCTCCTAAGCAAAGCCTGGTGTGATCTAATGTGCTTTCTCCCATGCATTGGTGCGTTGGTCACGTACCTCCTGGCAGGCTGATTGGCCCGCAGGCCTTCTCTTTGGGGTCTTGATCGTGAATAAAAATCCTCTTTGTACAGAGCCTCCATAGCCCGAAATGAGCCGCTTCGCAGGTGGTGTTGAAGTTCTCCACTTTGGGGCTCAGCACTGCCCAGTGGTCCGTCACCACGGCTGCAAACAGCAGCGAGATGCCCACCAGGATCACGAAGAACGTCAGGCGGACCTTCAGGGGTTTGCTCTCATCCATCCCGCTCCGCACCGGTGCTCCCAGCGGGTGATTTCCCGAGCTCTCCCCAAACCCCAGCTCATCCGAGCGCTGGGAAGTGTCAGCAGGGAGAGCGGGATGGCCGCGGGCAGCTGCCGGGCTGTGTCAGCTGCGCAGAGAGGAGGCTATTAATGCACACAGGGAGAGCAGCGCCGGCGGAGCTCGGCTTTCTGCCCCGTCCCACCGGGATTGCTTTGGATTCCCACGAGCCGGCGGGGCGGGAGCTCGCTCCCGGTGGCTTTCAGCCGCCGCTCAAAGGCCGTAGTCTCTGGACTTGCAGCATGCCCAGAAATAGGCATTAACAGGACCATTAACTTGGGAGCGAGGTTACAAAAACATCTGTGTTTATGCGAGCGCCGGGCCCGGGTTCAGCCTCATCCTGAGCAGTTTAATAGCCCGGGAGCCCGCTCGCTGCACACCCGTGCCTTCAGCCTGGGACAGCCCCTGCAAGGAGCCCAGAGCTGGATGTCCCTCCAGAGCCCAGCACTGCAGTGTAAAGGAAAGGGCAAAATAAGCAAATAGCTTCATTTTCATCTTTAATTTGAGTACTATATTTTTATTATCACCATTATTATTATTGCATTATTTTTGTTTTTATGATTTTAGTTATTTTTATTTGTACTAGTTTTCTTATTTTTTATAATTTTTTTACTAACCTGAAGTATTCTGAGTAGTTGGGGGTTTTGTGTTTGTCTTTTTTTTTGTTTATTCTTGCCTTTATTTCCTCATGCAAAACCTCTCCAGCACTCACATTCCCGCCAGCCAGGTCTGCCTGTAATGCCTATAGTAACTCCAGCACCCACCCAGCACATTCTTTCCTTCCTTGAGAAGTGACTTCTGTCCCCCGACCCCAGCCTCTCTCCTTCCCTTTGGTATTTCAGCTGATCACAAAGCTAATTTGATGATAATACCAGTGCAGAGGCCACTGTGGAGGTGATGTTACCATTGCGATGTCAAACAGAGGAGGGTTACAGTACCTCAATGTTAAAGAAATGACAGTGGAACACTGCAAATACCATGTTATCTTGTCAAGACAATGTCAAAGCTCCTCCAGCCCTGTTTTATGAACATTCCAGTTTGATGTCAAAATTAAGGTGCAGTGGTGTTAGCTCAAATTAAAGCGGACAATCTGCGAAGCAAGGAGTTAAGCAGAAAGGGGAGTGTGGGAAAAGGGTTAAGAAATAAGGAATAAGTTGAAATAGATTGATCCAAACTAACCGTATTGAGATGTGGCATCGAGGGGCTAACATTGCTGTGTTTGATGTGTGACAGGGTTTGATGTGGACACCCCTGGGGAGCAAGGGGATGTGTCTGAACCCAGTATAGCATCTGGTGCCCCGGTCCTGCTGGGGTTGTGGAGCCGTGGGCAGGAGTGAAGGTGTGTGGTGCAAAATGGAGGGGAAAGGGACTGGGGAAGGCACTGGGGCCATGGGCATGTCCGAAAGAGAGTACTCCCAGCCTTGCGCAGGACTGTGATGTGCTGTGCTGGGGCTGGGAGAGAGATTAGGGGCTTACATTTAAACCAGAACCAAGAGTTCCCATAAAATGGAAAAGCCCAAAGCGAGCAGCCTTTACACCAGAAACGGAGCGCATTAAAAATGCAATGCCTTCTCTTTTGAAGTACTCTTGTTAAGTTTCACTAGACATCAGCCGATCTTAGGAGCTGCAGCCTGACTCCGCTTCCGTGCTGCTACGAACCGCAGGTCCTCGCAAGCTGAGCAGAGGAAAACCGGTGCGTGCTTGCCAATGCGGGCACAAAGCGAGGTTCTGGTTGCTGAGGAAGCAAGTGCTAACGATCACACATTACAGCCTGCAAGCACTGCAGGGGTGGGAGCTCACTGGTTTGTTTTGTTGGTGATGGTCTTCGTGTCTCTTCCAGTGTCGGCAAGAATCGCACTTTTTGGTCTCATTTAGGTCCTTAGACCTGGGTAAGTTCCTCGGGTTTTGTTTCGGGTTTCCTAATGAAGTCCAGGAAGCAACTGAAGTGCAATCAGAAGGGAAGAGCTCATCCTCCCCAACCCTGCAGGGGGGTGTGAATGAGCTCTGATGAGCTTCTACCTGAGCTGCAGTGGCTTCCCCCAGGCTGAAAACTCCCGTTACTGCAGTAGAGGTAAAACACTGTCCCTAGCCCAAACAAAGCGGCCTGCTGCCACCAGCCTATGGGGCAGAAAGTATTTTGTGGGGTTATTGCTCCCCATGGGCTCCGCGGGTTTGCTACACGAGCTGATGTAGCTGCATCACAGGGATGCTGCAGCCTCCTCTTCCCAGCACGGGCTCCATGTGGTTTTGGGGAATGTTGTAGGTGATCACTGCTTGTGGCCCCTGTAACTGCTGTGGTGGGAGCCAAAAGGTTCCTCTGCCCATGGGCTAAGCCTCTGTCCTCAGCCTGTGTCCCCAGCCTCTGTCCCTGTGTGGAGGTGAAGCTGCTCTCCCTGGGGCTGGTGGGCTCCGTGCCTCAGGTGGGCATCTGACAAATACAGAAGCAAACCTGATTTCTGGAGGAGCAAAGGACCAAGAGACACCCTAAAATTCGTCTGCACGTCCAGATCACGATACCTAATCCTCTAGGAATGGTTCCTGCAGCCTCCCTGTGTCAGGTGGCAAGCATTCGCATCTAAAAATCAGTATCACATGAAATATAAATAGGCTATTAATGAGGACCTGTTGGGAAGCAAGGAGGGGTGTAATTAGTTGCACTTTATCAGCAGTGAGAGACACAATAATGATGCTCTACTGGGGAAAATGTTAAAGGAGGTGTCTCAAGACCAACTCTTGTGTTATTTCTTCCCTTTTCTGTGTTTCTTCCGGACCAGCCTCAGTATTTACCACAACCAGGTTAACCAAATCCTATGGTTCCCTCCTTGCAGAATGATGTTCTGCAGAAGACCCTTCCCAGGTGAGAATAACCCAGAGCCGGTTGCTCCCGGTCTGTGCTCAGCTCAGAAGTATTTACAGCAAACAGCTTTCTTCACATGGGAGCTCCTTGGCAATGTTTGAGCCCCTGGGCCTGAATTGCTGCAGTGTGCAGAGACCACCATAACTGCAGTGGGCTCTGCATAGATGATACCTCGGAGAACCACCAACAGCACCCTCCAGAGGGAGGTGATGGATGCGTCATCCCTGGAGACATTCAAGGGTGGATGTGATTCTGAACAACCCGATCTAGTTGAAGATGTCCCTGCTCATTGCAAGGAGGTTGGAGGAGATTAACTTTGAAGTTCCCTTCCAACAACCCAAACTATTCGATGATCCTGAAAGCTCCCTAATTCTGGGACTTAAATCTTGCCACTGAAGGCAACAGCAAAATGTGTGTGTTTCAGCTGATATTGTTTTCAGTTTTCAATAGGCTCCTGTGTGCATGAAGAAGAGACAGAATCCCGCACCCCCGGGCGCAGCCTCTTGATGTGCCATCCCCACAGCCCATGGAGCACCCACCACTGCCTGCACTGTGCCTGATCCACAGTTCTCTTCCAATACGGAGCACCATGCCCGGCGTGCCGGCTCGGTAAGCGATCCCTGTCACTGCAGAGAAGCTGTAAGATGAGCTGCTTTGCAGACAGGTGCAGAACACTCCTCATTCCCTTTTATTTTCGGCACCTCCCATGTCTGTTAGTTTTCTCATTCCAAGGAAATGCCACATCCTCCTCACTGGGCTATTTTACCACTTACTGAAGCCTTACGTTTTGCATCGCCCTCAAACAACATGATGCTTTGATACATCCCCGTTCACAGCAAGGCAGCCACAGCTCTTGGGTCACTATTTACACACAGACTTGCTCAGCAATGTGGGAAAAACCTTTATTTTAGTTCAAGGGAACCAGCATTAGGCTTGAGCTTTAAATGGCTCCTGGGGTTCAGAGGCATTTGGAAAGGTGAATCCCTGCCTCCCTCCAGACATGCTGGTTGATCATATGCATGGGGAGACGCTGATATACACAGGCAACGTTCATCTGTAACAACAATCTGGAGGCTTAGGAACTTGGAAGATAAGGTTAAAAGAAGTATTTTAAGAAGAAATAGTGTCTGTGATACAGGGATGGTTTGGAATGTCTGGGAGCAGCCGGGAGTTGCTGTACTTACTGCTGGTTTTATGGTGGTGATCAGATAAAGGGTTTTGTGGAGCTTCAGCACGCAGGGTTGAGCTTTCTTCAGGCAAAAATGGGCAAGATCAGGGAGAGGAGGATGCTTGGAAGTGAATTCATATAAAAAGTGGAGGCAAATCACAGGGTTAGGGCTGGCACTTCAGAAGACACTGGCTTATTCCTCTTGGTGGTTTGCAGTGCCTCTGGCCACTATACCACTCCCAAAACAGGCACTGAAACCAGAGTGTGTCACATATGGGCCAAGCTTAAGCTGGAAACAGAAGGTTTTTCATATTTTCTAACCCAAATACTGTGAAGGCAGCTTATCTCGGTGGTGTGGGGGACCACAAGAATAGTTTTCTCTCCTTTGATATATTGGCTTCTAATAACATTCCCAGCTGCAATCGAAATAGGTAGAAATGCGGAAATAATAAACACAGAAATCTCAGCTCAGAGAGTCTGGAAGTTCAAAGTCCATATACCTTTCTCCACACAAAAAATGAATACATTTAAAATGGTTTATTTAAAAAGTAAGGATTAAGTACATTATACATGGTTGTGGTTATACCAGTAGAACTGAAACACAGTGGAAATAACACTTTAGAACTGCAGACAGAAAGGTAACCTCAAGGGACGTGGTATATTAGCCCTTGTGGATATGTGATCCATACAGAAAGAAAAGGTAATATAAAAATAGTTTAGTGTTAGATGTATGGGCACATGAAGTGGTTTCTCCTTTTACTCCTATTGCGTATGAGAAACTAGGAAGAGAGCTGATGATATACCTGAAACTTTTGTTTCCTGGAAAATAGAGGCTGATCCCATAGCATTTATTATTTAGGTCTGCTCTTACAGTATGTCACAGGATAATGCCAAAAGGCTGATTTGTGTGGTAATGATGTGATGATATCTGCAGGCCTTGTTGAGAAATGGGGGCTAATTTGTTTGATGCTGTCTGGGGAAACCAGAGAGATGTGGAAGAACAGGTGATTTTTATTCATATCTTTTAAAACTATCACTGAGTGGTTTCAAACTCCGAGCACAATCTTCCGCTCAGACAGATCAGCCACGGAGCAAGACACTGCTCATGGGCAGGAGTGATGCGACTCTTTCAGTGTTGTCAGAATCACAGTTTTCCACTGGAAAAGA